CTGCTCGGCTCCAGGCCAGGAAAAAGGTCCAGTCAGCAAAGCAGGTCGACAAAAATAGCGCAGCCTTGCGAGAACTCCATCAGATCTGCCAAGCCCTGGGGATGCCTGAGCCAGACCCGGCGTCCTCCGTGGCTCAGGTGATGGAGGACATTGGATCCCAGGTGGGACTGAAGGGGCAGGCAGACCTGGGCTGGGCAGGTGGGATCCTGGGAGGAGGCCTGGAGAGGCCTAGTTGCTTGCCGAGTTGAGGGAAGGGATATACCAGTAGTCCTCGACTTATGAACATCCGTTTAGTGACTGAAGTTAACAATGGCGCTGAAAATTAATGGAACGAGTTGTGGGTCCTCCCAACAATGGAGATTTGTAAGGACAACATTTGTCTGGGGTGGTCTAAGGCAGGGGTCTGCGACCTTGACAACTTTGAAGACTTGTGGACTTCAGCTCCCAGAATTCCTCAGCCAGCTATACTGGCTGAGGAATTCTGGGAGCTGAAGTCCACAAGTCTTCAAAGTTGTCAAGGTCGCAGACCCCTGGTATAGGGTTTCCTGCCTGAGCAGACAGTTGGACTAGAAGACCTCACAGGTCCCTTCCAACTCCTGCTGTTCTGAAAAAGATGATCGCGCTTACAAGTCCTGGCGACGCAGTGGCTAGAACACAGAGTTGCAGGCTGACTCTGCCCACCGCCAGGAGTTCGATCCCGACGGCTCTCCAGGTTGACTCAGCCTTCCGTCCTTCCCAGGTCGGTCAAATGAGGAACCCCAGATTGTCGTGGGGTCAAGATGCGACAAATGCTTACTTTGTCAGTCCCCCCAGAGAGTGCTGTATTCCAAGTGCGGTCTTAAGCGAGGCCTTACGAATTGGCCTGAATACTTGATTGTGTTAATAATTGTGGTATTGTCTGCCTCTTTCTCTTGCTACGAAAGCTAACTCCGTGCTTCCTTCAGGTTTCAGAGGCACTCGCCGCGCAGGCGCCCCAGCCACAATGGCCGGCACCGCTCCTGAAGGCCCCCTTGACCTCTGAGCAATGGGTAGGAGGGCCGTTGTGTTTGCGGCAAAGGAGGAGGTGGGGGTGGGCTTCCTGGTCTGGTGCTGGTGGAGCTTAAGCATCTCTGCTTTCCCGTTCTGTCTCCTTAAAATACCAGGAAGCGCTGGAGGAGATTAACCGAGTGCTGGCGGCCGAATACCAGTGCCGAAGACACATGATGCTCACCCGTTTCGACATCACCGTGGCCTCCTTCCATTGGTCTGAGAGAGCCAAGGTAGAGTCAAGGGGCTGTTGTATTAGCAGCATTGATTTCATTCCATGACTGACTGACTGACTGACTGACTGATGGGTTGATTGATAGCCCTCCTTTATTATTTTTTAATAACTCAAGAGGGGGAATGTATCCAACCCACTGTCCTATTTTCCCTACCACAACCCTGTGAGGTGGGTTGGGTTGAGAGAGAAAGACTGGCCCAAAGTCACCCAGACAGCTTTCGTGTCAGGACTAGAACTCACCATCTCCTGGTGATTGGCTCAAAGTCACCCAGCCGGCTTTCATATCTAAGGCAGGACTAGAACTCGCCGTCTCCTGGTGATTGGCTCAAAGTCACTCACCCAGCTTTCATGTCTAAGTCACTCAGCTGGCTTGCATGTCTAAGGCAGGACTAGAACTCACCGTCTCCTGGTGATTGGCCCAAAGTTACCCACCCGGCTTTCATGTCTAAGGCAGGACTAGAACTCACCGTCTCCTGCTCTCTAGCCTAGTGCCTTAACCACTAGAACAAACTGGAGTTGGGGAAGAGAGACACCACGACTGTCTCAGGATTCTTGCTGTGTTTCTCATCTCTTGTCCCGGCTAGAACCGAAGCACAGCCATGTCCAAAGCCTTCCAGCCCTTGCGGCAGTCTTTGCCGGAAGACGCCCAGCTCGGCCTTGCCCACCTGCTGGCTGCCCGGGAGGACTTTTCTCGTATCGTCAAGACCAGCAGCGGTGCCTTGCGGAGCAAAACCAGTTGTGCTGTCAATAAGGTATGAGCTGGAGGGGACATCTGGGTCACCAGCAGCTGGAGGGGGAGGGAGGAGAACCCTGGGGGGGGGGGTTTCAAGCTGTTCAAGCTTAGCCCATCCCCCAATGCCAGGTCATGCTGTTTACTCAACCGACTGTGGTTGGGCATAGCAAAACCCTGACTTTACATCTGCAGCTTTGCTTGCTCAAAGGAGTTGACCCTTGGGGTGGAGAGGCAGAGGAGAGAGGATGGTGGTGTCCTCTCCCTTCATCTTTCCTTCC